TATTTCAATCCATTGCTGTACGCCATTACAAAAGACGAAGCAATCTCTTGGTTAAACCAAGCCGTGAAGTATCGACAACAAAAACGTGAAGACCCGCCAACCACCTGGTAGTCTGATGGTGAAACGAGTAGGCAGAATTTAACACTTTCACTGTCCGGTTTTCAGACACAATAGTAAGACAATAGCAATGATCTATATGTAGTGCACGGGACAGCGAAAGGGTTAAGGCATGTAATTCCTGTGTACTATAAGAATATACCGAGAGGCTGGTTATGCTGCGCCTGTGCTCTTTGTTAACAAGATTATTTTTTATTAAATTATGTTCACCAATAAGACTTTTAACAGCCCCCCCCCCCCCGCCCACCCCTCCTACTAAATGCAACGCTGCTAGGTGACATTTTACAGCTCCAGCAGTGAGTGCAGTATTCCATGCACGACCTGATTTGCGCTTTACATAAGGTAATAAGTTGCCTCTGCATGTTGTACCGCCACACCCTTGCACGGACACCTAGTTTGTTTGCGGCTGTTTTGTTCCTGGGCTCAATGAACCACCCGAAATTGAGATTCGGAGCAATCTCGACTTTTAAAACTAAACGGTCGGCGGTCGGTGTACTTCACGGATACATTCCGGAAAGTAGGATATATGACATAAATGGCCGTATCTTTGGATTGCGTTTACTTAACATCAATTTTTTAGACATCCAAAGTAACGTAGACCTTAGAATTTGATATTAATTTTAAATTGATGGCTCTACACGCTCCTAAGAAAAATCCTTCATTCTTCAAGCCTTCACAAACGGACGGACAACAAAGTGAGAAGGGGTTCCGTAAATCTTATAAAAGTAGTCGTAAATAAAGGAGAATGCTCATTTTACATGAAACATTTTTAACAGCTTTTAGAAAAAAAAATATACTTATATTAGATAATATAGATGACAGGATCGAATGGCGTCACACTTCATTACCCATGTCTATAGAGGAGGAAATGTTGTTCGGTTATGACGCAGTAAAACAACAACAGCTTCGTATCGGCAGTAAAGTGTAGCGGTTCGTGTACACCAAAACCGATTTTGACGGTCGATGGCGGACGGAACTACCCGGACGAGTAACTCGGACGTGTACCTATGTGCTTACACTGCAACAGTGTACCACGTGTGCCGTCATTGAACGTTGCCGGTATTCTGTAGTTGACTGTGTTGCTTAACAGAGTGAAGACGCATTTTTATAAATATCTGGAACCGCTATATCCATTTCCGATCCAAGTTCAGCCCATAACCGTTTACAAACCTCTCGATTATTGTAATTGTCTATTATAAACACAACTAATTAATTTTTCAATATCCATAGTCGTTTAGGTAGATAACAACACTGACAAAAACAACACACTCGTAAAGACAAAATGATTAAATTAAAGTATAAATACACTCAATTTGCACTGTAGACGCCGGCAATCTGGCGAGTAATCCCGATTCCCAACAGGTTCGGACTCAACGGCAGATCGGCCGATTTCGTGCGTCATCGGACGATGACGGTCGTGTTTATGTACGCACTCTCTTTCTTTTAAAGGGTGTTTGATTCGATCGTCCGAGTTCGACCGTCATCGCCCAAGCAAACTTCGGCCGTTGACGGATTAGGTGTACGCGTATAGGACTACCTCGCACTAGATGTTCAGCAGTGGGTACATAGTCCAGTCGATGGTAAGTGGATGCTGTTGCCCACAGACACCTACATCTATCCTCAATAAAAATTGAAACTTAGGTGGGTACCCACCACCAGAAACACAGCAGCATAATTTTTTTTTATAGAATAAGTGTGACAAACGAGCACACAGTCCACCTGATGGTAAGTGGATGCTGGGTCCTATAGCTCAAAAAATAACCTCAACAGAGGGGACATGATGATTGGTAACAAATCATAAACCAACATCATCCTCATCCCCATCATTGCCTTTCCCTTTTTTAAATATAGCTCACGGCCTTTCAGGCCCCTGTGTCAGATGAAGCTGTAAGAGCCGCATAGGCTAACAGCACTCACGTCACAGAAAATAGATGTGACTTATAGACATCTACATTTATCCTCAATTAAGAATCAAAATGCAGATGCATTGTCACCCCTGAGGAATGATATATATAGAATGCCTCGTTACCAGTAAAAACGAGAACACACCAGCATTAAGCTGCTATTTTATGCTGGTATTCTGTGAGATCGTGGTCCTTCCCCGGTCGAACCGACCCAATCGTACTACAACTATACTTCTAATATAGCTGCAGCATGGCTCTACCACGTATAAAAACACGTAACCTTGGTAGAGCCACGCTACAGCTAATCGTATTACAGCTGCGGTACGAATGTGTTGGCGCGATCGGGCAAAGACAACGCTTGACACTGCTGTGCTGTGCTCTACACTCACCATACTTTCGTATGGTGAGTGTAGAGAACCGGAGACCCATTTTGCTGGAAAAGAGGCATTCCATCTTAGTCCTCACGGGTGACAACGCAACTGCATTTTGATTTGTAATCGAGGATAGATGTAGATGTCTATAGGCCGCAGCAACCACTTACCATCAGGTGGACTGTGTGCTCGTTTGTCACCCTATCCTGTAAAAAAAAAACACTTATACTTACCCATAGGTTATAATATATACTAAAAATAATATATATAACATAATAAATACTAAAAATGTTACGTAAATGTAAAAAGTTTGATATCCCTACTTTGGGCTGTGAGTTTGTCATAAAAATGACCTAACTACATTTTTAAGATGACAAAATAACTTCCACTTACCTCATTGGTTAGCATCCTACACGTTATGACACCCAGCGACCACCAGTCAACAGCGTGGCCATATGGTTCCCGACTAAGAACCTCGGGTGCTACGGACAACGGAAAATGAAATTCGCTTAATAGGCAAACCTAACACATTAAGGTCCCAAATAAATGTCGTGTTTAGCAAATCTCCTAAAAGTTCACTGCTGGATATGTGCCTCTCTCCTCCCTAATTGTACGGATCATTTGCCTTGACGCTTAGCGGCCGGATTGACGACCGCAGTACCAGACGTCTCGCACCTATGACGATGCCTGCATTAGTCGCAAGCTGAATTTCGCTCAGCCCCCCCCCCCTCCCCCCCTTCTGCAGGGCAGCCTGAACACCCACTATCAGGAAGAGTAAGATAGCTTGGTCACATTTATTGGCCTGATGTACCCACGAGCTGATTTTATTTTTATAGGATAAGGGTGGCAAACTAGCACACAGTCCACCTGATGGTAAGTGGTTGCTATGACCCACAGACATCTACATCTATCCTCAATAAAGAATCAAAATGCAGTAGCGACTAAGATAGAATGCCTCTTTTTCAGTAATAAAAAGGGTTTCCGGTTCTCTACACTCACCATACGAAACACAGCAGTGTTAAGCTGCTATTTTACGTTGGTATTCTGAGAGCGTGGTCCTTCCCCGGCCGAGCCGACACATTCGTGCTACAACTATACTACTGATATAGCTGCCGCATGGCTCTACCACGTAAATTAGGCTAGAGCCTAGGGCGCAAGGACCGAGGTGGCGCTGAGCTTGTCTTAGCAAGCACCATTATTTACAGAAAGAAATTCGGTATAATATTCTTAATAAATAGTAGAGCAAGCGCCGCATGCATTTTACATGTTAGTATTTCTTTTTTGTTACAAAATCTTTATATATTAAAATTAATTGCTGTCCGTTGGTCTCGCTAAAAGTCAAAAACGGCTGAACTCATTTTGATGTTTTTTTTTTGTGTGATTGAATGGGTTTCTGGATGGTTTAGTCACATTTGGAACCGATAGGTGGCGCTGTTGGCGACATCCAAAAAATCATCCGTGCGAAGCCGGGGCGGATCGCTAGTAATTAATAAAAAGATTGCAAAAATTATAATTCGAATTATTTGGTGCCTTTTATCATACGTTGATTGACTGGATGTGATTCAAAGATTTTAAATTGCTTAAGCTCTCTTCTCTACCCCTAATTTAATTCGTAGTCAGTAAAGCCCATAGCTGAAATACTTTGATTATACACTTAGTACTAATATCAGAAATGCGGAGTGCGGAGTATCGTATCTCATTTGAAACTGCGACCTGAAGAATTAATCACGAAGTAGTGTTCAAAGCCTGTCGTTACTAAACAAGCAAGGTATTACAGTCATATTTGACGTAGTTTATTCACACAGGAGACTTATTTGTACCAAAATAACAAAATAAAAAAATATTCAGAATGGGAACCTAATGAATAAACGGAAATGCATATTGCGTAGTGAAAAATGGTTTCTCTACGATACTCGCCGATAATCGTAAGTAAAAAACGCAATGTCATGCGGGTCAAATACCGAAACTATGTCCATGTGGCAAATGCCAAATATGTAATTTTACTTTATTTCTTGATATTTTCAAATACTGAGTGTAGGGGAGACTACCGATTGGTCATAGTTTTCACCTGGTGCGGTAAGTCATAATATAAGCCCATTTATATCAATTTATAATGCTGACCGTTATTATCGCTCTTTACTTGTAAGTTAGTTTTAAAATAAAACCCTTTTTTACTGGAAACGAGGCATTGTTTCCCCTTTTTTTTTTTGGCATCTTAGTCCTCAGGGGTGACAACGCATCTGCATTTTAATTCTTAGTCAAGGATAGATGTAGATGTCTATGGCCACAGAATCCACTTAACCATCAGGTGTGTAATTGTGTGCTCGCTTGTCATCCTTGTTCTATAAAAAACCGTTAGCCTATCAAAAGTGCACTGGTGAATATAGGTCTCCCCCATAGACTTCCTTATAGTGGGTATATTTGCGATAGTTGCTATGCTTGGCAGGCATTAAGACCTTGGTCTTTTACGACACCCATACGACGACATAGGTTAGTGGATATTCTTAAACTTCCACTAAGCGGTAGTTAAAACAAAAAGGAAACGTAGGCTTTTTAGTGAGAACCAAAAAAAATATTAATATTTTTATTATATTTATTTATATTTATTAATATATTTTATCACAAAAAAAAGGTGTTTTGACTTTAAACATTACGAACAGATAGATAGCAAAGCCAGAAGGAATCTAGGCTATATTTTATTCAAAGTTTATAGAAAAAAAAATATAACAAAAATGGTCTTTGACTTTTTTAAATCTAAATGACGCTACATAAATAAATCCTATCCAGACAAACCCTTGGCGGGTTACCAGTGTTTCATAAGAAAGGCTTTAGAGGTCCTTTTTCAGACGTTTCCTCACGTTCTTTTCAGTACTATCATTCTTGGGTTGCCCTTTTGAGAGAACTCAGATTACTCCTCCCCTAATATGTAACGCGTACGCAAACCGTCTAGTCTGTTCCAATTAATTGGTTTTCGAATGTACAGAATGATTAGGTATTCTTTAGGTAATATAAATATTTAGCAGTTTAAAATTACAAACCAATGTAAAACATGTTTTATGTAGATTAACATCGTACAATTTATTGTTTAAAAAAATAAATTTAAACATGTGTTTACTTACATTCTTTTGAAATTTGATTAAAACGGACTAAACATATTATTCTATAGTGCAATCATGAAGAGTTGAAGTACATAAACAAATGAGTTATTCACCTGTGGGCTGAGGTTGTATCATACAGTGATCAAAATAACTTAAAATAAAACAATTGATTAATATTTCATAATTTATTCACATATTTATAGTATAAATTATCACAAGACAAATTTTTTGCATTTTTTGAACTCATACATCACAACAGATAGCTCCATTCTCATTCACCATAAACTCTAATATAAAACAGCCATTATTAGACACATTTAAGATATATCAAAATCATCTTTCAAATAAGGCCTTAAATGTGTGCATTGGTTATATAATTTACAATGTGCTCGACATACTATACTTTTACGAATTAAAACGAGGCACATAATAAAGGATATTATTATAATATATTATGATAGAATAATATATTGTCCTATCACCGGGTTCACTACATACGACTATAAATTATGTTGCGAAATTACGCTTCATAAGGTACTCGCTGATATGAAAAAATGCTTGTATTAAAGAACAAAGAACGATATTTAGAATTATAGTTTTTTTATTTATTTGAATGTTCCTGTAGTTGCAACGTATGTACAGCCTCTTCTTTGGTGACAAATATAATGATGATAAATAGAACTAGGAAAAAGGAAATCACTTTCCAATTGAGATGTAATATACACTAAGTCTAGTCACAAAATGAGGTAGGAAAGTAAATCAGAAGTTTTATTATGGATGGACTTTCTAGCATAGAAGTGTTATAAAAAATTTGCTATATCATATTGAACAGAAAAACAACTATCCATACGAGAGATGAACTGATGGCGATGGTGCAATCATCGAACCATCTGAAAATATTTTACAAATAAGTAATCTATTAGTGAGAAAATACTTCAGTTATACTAGTTACACACAATACATTCTATGCACCATTCACTAATTTAAAATTAGAGCTCTGAACACTAGTTATACTAAACTCACTGATTGTATTAAATTATATTTCACTGTTTAAAAAGTTCGTTTAGCTGAACATTTAATTTTATAAAGCTCTTAATACCTCAACCTTATCTATACATAAAGGAGAAATCTATAATTTTATATACATTATTTACAAATCCTATAGCATACACCTAGCTAGTTAAACGTGTTTTAGTTGTAATATAACTTTCTATTCTAAAAGTTTAAATAAGTGTGAAATTAAATGTACTCTACATGTTTATTTATGTTATTTTTCGCTTCATTATTGGCAATATCACAAAATAAGATTCAAAATTAAACAAACACGTATATTTCTAAATAATAAATCAAATATCAACGAGTGGCACGCTTAGTGACCGAAGCTTTTGTACTTCAGCAAATAACTAATATTACCCATTCATAATGAACATGCAACAGAACTTGTTAAAATAGAAATGGCGGGAAATTATATAAAACAAATATGTACAAACCTCATTAATCTTTAGGTAATTTTAAATTATATACTACTTTAGTTGTGAATAATTACAAATAAACACTATTTAGTTACCTAACATGGAAATATAAAAACGTCAAAACTTAAGTAAGTTGTGAAGACAAACCTTAAAAAATGAGTGGACACATCAACCAGCCTTTGCTCCAAAACAATTCTACAACTAATTTGTATTATTACTATTATTACAACAGATTAACGATAAATATTTAAATCACGAAATAAATACATCAGTTAGTCAATACCAAACAAAATATTAGACACAATATATAAAAGAAAAAAAAACATTACAAGTTAAAATAGGGACTAGTTAATGTTATGTTAGATACTTAACACCGGCAACAGTGTAAATTTTAAATTATGCAATTTTGTGCTAAATAAGTACATTTTTGTTATGAAAATAGGAATTAAATTATCCAACCATCTTCGATTATAATAAAAAAAATATTAGTTGTTCATAATTGTCAATAAAATAAAAGTACCTACAATTGAATTTTTGTATTTACAAAATTGCCACTTGTAAAAATAATTGCACATTAGATAAAAGATCTTTTATTAGTAAAATATATATTATAAGCTGTGACTTTTTAATACATTTGAATTTTCGAAAGCGTGGTTTATTTTATGGTTACGTAATAAGAACGACACAAAAGATATAGTCATTAATTTACATCCACAAAATTAATATCATGTTACACAATTTGTATATCAATAACACAAGAAAGTAAGATCCATTGCTGTGCTGCCACAGATAATAAAGGGAACATAAATATAATATAGATCACAATGATAGAGTATCACGAATCAATTTACGCACTGTGTTGCCAACAGAGGTTGGAGGCGCACCGGATAGATTGTACTGTATTTTAAAAAGGTATGGTTGAATATCTGCATATGAAGTGTCAAATATAAGGTCAGCATCTGACCGGCTGGGCATTTTGGGGACGTATTCATGACGGTTAATGATCTCTGTAATGTGGACTATCTTGTCCTGAAGCATTTCGACAACGCTCTCGTGTTGGCTGTGCATGTCATGCTCATTGCGTGATTCAGTTAGCTCGCAGCAAACTGTCCACACTTCCCAAGGCACGCATTCGGGTTGGAAAGGCCAGCGGGCGCGCCGCTTCTGAAAGAACTCGAGACTGATAGACCCTCGCGGTGGGGAGGAACTGGCTGTCCGTAATAGATCGGAGAACTCCGATATCTCCTTCTTCACGTTTCGACCAAGGGCCTCAGACTCACAGCATACGTACGTGAAGTCGATGAAATCGCAATCGACGTCGATGTAGCTGACTGTCCGTATGGAGTAGCTCTCCTCGTTGTTGTAGGTGAACTTGCCGCTTGAACGATGAAATAGTACGGTGTGGAATATACTCGCCACCACCTCGTCTACTTGCCTGCCTTCCATTGACATCTCGAACGAAATACTGCGGGCGTTCATCTTGCCGTCGTCACTGGCAAGTCGCTCGCGCAACTGCCTCCACTGACATAATCACGTAAACTCTCTCCGTTACGCACTCCCGATGTTTTTCAGAAGAGAAAAGGTCACAGGATGACCGGAGCATAGAGCCATCTCACGATTAAATAAAGTAACGAGTCAAATCCCACACTGAAATGGAAAATGACCGTTTTAGTTATACCGCATCTCGTTTTAGCCTTAAAATGTATAACAAAAGTTCAATACAAATATGAAATTATTAACTTACCCATATATTTCAAAGTGCCACAGAGTGTAGTTGTTCGTGAGCCAATGGGTAGCCACTTCGAAAGACCGAAATCAACAAGCTTAATGTGATGGTCTGTATCTAAAAGTATATTCTCAGGCTTCAAGTCCCGGTAGATGACTCCAGCATTATGAAGAAAATCTGAAAATTTAAAAAGAAACAAGTCGCTCATTATTGTGCTATTATTGTAAATATAGACCTACCAAAATCTTAAATGTGAAAATCTGGCTAAGTTCAAAAAAACTACTTTCGGGGTTGTCGGTTTCGCCGGTAAAATAGTTGAGATCTGAACAGGTGCCAATTTCCTTATATTATAGCTATATGAATGTACAAAACAAAACGACGAACACAAACGAACTTTTAGTCGATTTGATGGCAAGCGGCTATTGCAGTCCAAGGACACCTGCAGCCAAATTCAAACAAAGAAGGCTTCAGATGTGTTGTCACCTCTGAGGACTAAAGCAAGGTTTAGGCGAAGCCAGTAACGCTGGCGCCAGTCCTCAGACAAGCCTGCGCTGGCCTGGACCGTGTTATTTAGATGAGGCCAAATGGATTCATTTCATTCCTGGATTATTCTTGTGGTGTGCACACGTTTTGCGTTTTAAAAAAATGAATTTAGGACAAATGCGGCGGCGTTTGAAAAAGAAATGTATAAACATCTCTGCACTATTAAGAGAAGAGTTGATCAATATATTAGAGGAAGAAATCGTAAAGAATAAAAGACTGGATGAGCAAATGGCTAAGCGATAGATCCGTAACTGGAGCTTGGCGGACGCGGAAAATCTTACAAAAATAAAACGTGTTAACAATCTACGGATAAGCGCCAGCGTCTGGCGCGAAGCATCTACACGCGTCCTCACGCTGGCACGGGGGTTGCGGGGCAAGCGGACGGAGGTCACTAAAAAAAAGGACGGCGCTCTATTCCCGCCAGTGCTAGCAGCCACGCTGGTTTGTCTTGAAAAACTGTTTATACGAGACGAATAACAAGCCAGCGCTGGCTGCCAGTCAAACTGGCAGCCAACACTGGCTTCGTCTAAACCTTACTTTAGATGAATTGCTTCACAGTCTGTAAATATACTGGCCCCCTATATCCTTCAGACTGGAACACAGCAGTGCTGCCATTTGGCAACAGAAATAGGTAAGAGGGAACCAAACGGTACCCTAGGTAGAAAAGGAGTCCTAACAAAGTCCTAAAATCCGTTGCGTTTGTTGACGTTGAATTTGTAACTTGTTAGCAAGTTTAGTTTCAAGTACTGTATGTGAAAGTAATAAATGTATCGACAGCGACACTGAATATAAATATGTAATTTTCAGAATATTTTTTTCTTCATCTAATATTCTATCTTGATACCAATTTTCAAGTTTCTAAGTCACCTACAAGTGGGCTAAGTTTTTGACGAGTGTGAGAGTCAGTGAGTGATAAAAAATACACTTTTCAGATGTTAATAACTCAAGCACTTATTTCTACTTTTTTTATAGGATAGGGTGAACAACGAGCACACAGTCCACCTGATGGTAAGTGGTTGCTGTGGCCCATAGACATCTGCATCTATTTTCGATTACGAACCAAAATGCAGATGCGTTGTCACCCCTGAGGACTAAGATGGAATACCTCTTTTCCAGTAAAAAGGGTATCCGGTTCTCTAGACTCACCATACGAAACACAGCACGTGTTAAGCTGCTATTTTACGCAGGTATTCTGTGAGAGCGTGGTCCTTCCCCGGCCGAGCCGACCCATTCGTGCTACAACTATACTACTTATATAAATGCAGCATGGCTCTACCACGTACTTACTACTATTACTAGGTTTATGGAAAAAGTTTAGCCAAACCAATGCGGGCAACCAATGCATTTCTGGCACAGATTTCATTACATCATTGCAACCTGAATGTCAAAGTAGACTTGGGTAGGCAGTGTTAAAGGAGCGAAACTTTCGGTAATGCTATCGTCAATTAGTCTTCGAAACATGGGAATAGTTTTAAATTCTTCCTACATGGGGCCTTATTCAGCACTGGACTATTTACGGGCTAATAAATAGAGATCATGATGATGAAAAGCTTCACCCTTAGAAATTTTATAAATAAGCTCCTGTAATCAGCTAAATCACCAGCAGCATAAACGGACTGTTAGGCAAAGGCCTGTCTTAGGCTTAGTAAGCTACTAATCACAGTGCCAGTACACACGGATTGGGATTTAGGGTACTGCATGTATAATATCATCATTACAGCCCTTCACAAGTCCACTGCTGAACATAGGCCTCCCCCAAAGAATGCCACAAAGCACGGTCCTGAGCCACCTGCATCCATCGACTTCCTGCATATCTTACCAGGTCGTCACTCCATCTAGTGGGGGGACGCCCTACACTTCGCCTGCCGGTACGAGGCTGCCACTCGAGAACCTTTCTTCCCCATCGGTTGTCGGTTCTTCGAGCTATATGGCCGGCCCATTGCCACTTCAGCTTACTAATCCGTTGGGCTATGTCGGTCACTCTAGTTCTACTGCGGATATCCTCATTTCTGAGTTTATCACGCAGGGAAACTCCGAGCATAGCCCTCTCCATAGCTCGCTGAGCGACCTTGAGCTTCCTCATCCGGCCAGCAGTGAAGGACCACGTCTCAGTTCCGTATGTCATCACTGGCAACACGCACTGGGTGTACAGTCTCGTTTTCAAGTTTTGAGGTATACCTGACGAGAAGATGTGCCGTAATTTCCCGAACGCTGCCCAACCGAGTTGAATCCGTCGATTGACCTCTCGGTCGAAGTTGGACTTACCTAGTCGGACTATTTGTCCCAGGTAAACATACTCGTCAACAACTTCGAGCTTAGTGTTCCCAACAACTACCGGCATAGGTGTGACATGGACATTAAACATGATCTTTGTTTTGTCCATGTTCATCTTAAGACCTATCCGTTGGGAAACACTATTGAGGTCATTGAGCATAGTGCTTAGGTCCTCCAGCGATTCTGCCATAAGGACTATATCGTCGGCAAATCGAAGGTGAGTGATGTACTCGCCATTGATGTTGATACCGTATCCTTTCCAGTCCAGAAGCTTGAAAACATCTTTCAATGCAGCGGTAGAGTTTCGGGGATATGACGTCACCCTGTCTTACACCTCTCTGCAATTGGATAGGTTTCGTACTCTGGTTCTGTACTCGGATAGCCATCGTAGCCCTACTGTACAAGCACTTCAACACTTCGATATACCGACAGTCAACTTGGCATCGCTGAAGGGACTGCAGCACCGCCCAAATTTCGACGGAATCAAAGGCTTTCTCATAGTCCACATACGCCAGACATAGTGGCAAATTGTACTCCTCGGACTTCTGTACAATTTGCCGAAGGGTATGTATGTGGTCTATGGTGCTAAAGCCTTTTCGGAAACCGGCTTGTTCGGGAGGCTGGAAGTCGTCAAGTCTGCGCGCGAGACGATTCGTAATGACTCTCGAAAACAGCACGTAGACGCGGCTCAGAAGGGAAATCGGTCTGTAGTTCTTCAAGAGAGCGTTGTCGCCTTTCTTGAAGAACAAGACCACCGCACTTCTGCTCCACGCCTCCGGTGTAATGCCACCATGAAGGACGGAATTAAAGAGCTTCTGAAGGACTTCAAGTACCGGTTTTCCACCCGCTTTCAGAAGCTCCGCTGTAATTCCATCCTCGCCTGGGGCCTTGCCGTTTTTAAGGTGCTGGAGAGCCATTCTAATCTCGCTCAGACTGACGTCCGGGATATCATCGGAATAATGTCGGATAAGACTCGCTCTTGGATCGTTACTCACACTTGCGTGCGGCACCAACGATGACGTGTACAGCTGCCCATAGAACCTCTCAATCTCACTCAAAATTTCAGGTGCCCCGGAAACGATGCTGCCACATTCTGTCTTCAGCTTTGACAGTTGGCGCTTTCTGGCAGACAGATCTCTGGCAAAGACTTTGGAGCCTTGGTTCCGCTCGATCGCTTCTTCAATACGAGCTGTATTGAATTTGCGTAAGTCCCGCCGCATGCATTTGGAGATCTGTCTGTTCAGTTGCCTGTATGCTGTTAAATCTGTTGAAGAATGTAGCTTCATCTCCCGTCTAACAGCCATGAGATTAAGAGTGTGATCGGAGAGTTTTTGTGTTCTTCTGCGGCGGGTCTTGCAGAACTTAGCTCCGACCGCATGGACAGTTTCCACGAGCTTGTCATTCAAATCGTCCACTTCATTGCAGTCTTCTAGGCACTGAAAACGGTTTTGTAACTCGAGCTGAAAGGTTTCGGGACTTTGGATCAGAGCACGAGGGGGACGGAGCGTTGACTTCATTAGACGAGACCTCTCCAACTTAACGTTTAGGTTCAGTGTGCCTCTAACCATTCGGTGATCGCTGCCGGTTTTCACCCTCGCGATCACTGAGACATCACTGAACAGTTGTCGTCTGGTCGTCATAATGAAGTCAATCTCATTTTTTGTCGAACCGTCGGGGCTCGACCAGGTCCACTTCCTATGGGGCCGCTTCTGGAAGAAAGAGTTCATCATAAAGAGTCCCTCTTTCTCCATGAAGTCGGCCAGCTGCTGGCCCCTTGGGTTCCGTTGCCCTATTCCAAATTTCCCTACTTTCAGCTCACCGTTCTCTCTTGTGCCTAGTTTTGCATTGAAGTCTCCCATTAACACCGTATATTGGGTTTTGGAGGAATGCATGGGTCTAGAGATATCCTCATACATTTCCTCCACCTCCTGATCGGGGTGTGCCGAGGTTGGTGCGTAAACCTGTATGACCTTCAGCGAATACCGTTTGGTGATTCTGAGTATAAGGTACGCAACCCTCGTCGACACACTCTCAATCTTTACAACGTTGTTAACGAGAGACTTGTGGACGATAAATCCGACACCTCCTTGGGACAGATGGTCGCCCTCCCGGTAATAGAGCAAGTTGCCGGATTCGAGGATTACCGTGTCCTCCCCCTCTCTTCGGACTTCGGATAATCCTATAATATGCCAGCGTAACTTGTCTATCTCTTCTTCCAGCTCCACAATCTTCTCGTCAGTCCTCAGGGTGCGTGCGTTGTATGTTGCCAGGTCGAGTCGTCGTAGGTGGCAACCGAACCTCCACCGGAGATTCTTAGCACCCCCTGCCCCGCCGTTACCATGGTCGCCACCGTAGCCAGG